TTTATCCAAGGGATACAGGTGTGCTGTTTCGAAAGGACACATGCACCCCCATGTTTATAGCAGCACTATCAACAATAGCCAAAGAATGGAAAGAGCCCAAATGTCCATCAATGGATGAATGGATAAAGATGTGGTATATATATACAATGGAGTATTACTCGGCAATCAAAAAAGAATGAAATCTTGCCATTTGCAACTATGTGGATGGAACTGGAGGGTATTATGCCAAATGAAATCAGTCAGTCAGAGAAAGACAAAAATCATATGATTTCACTCATATGAGGACTTTAAGAGACAAAACAGATGAACATAAAGGAAGGGAAACAAAAATAATATAAAAACAGGGAGGGGGACAAAGCATAAGAGGCTCATAAATATGGAGAACAAACTGAGGGTTACTGGAGGTGTTGTGGGAGAGGGAATGGGCTAAATGAGTAAGGGGCACTAAGCAATCTACTCCTGAAATCATTGTTGCACTATATGCTAACTAATTTGGATGTAAATTTTAATAAATTAAAAATAAAATAAAAAAAAAAGGAACTAGTGTGGTAGGGCTACAGGCCCAGGTATAGGAACCTGTATCAGCTTATATCCTTGCAAATTACTTGGCAGATATTGAATGTAAACCAGTAGCAGTTAAATTCAGAAAAACTTGGTCATTCAGAAACATCAGCTATTGCAAGGGCAAGCACAGAGTGAGCTCCAGCCTGCTTCGGGAAAATGTGGCCAATGCCATAAAGAATGTACTTACTGTCCCTTCTCCATTGCACTGCTGTCTCAATCGGAGGCAAGAAAGCACAAGCCCGTGCCATCAGGTGTCTCTCTCTATAGTATTTCTTACAAGAGTATTTCTTCTTGCAACATGTGTCAACGTTTACAGCTGTTCTAGTCCTGCATGGCAGTTTGAGGGTTAAACCCACTTCAGTCACATGCTCAATCCAAAAAGACACAGCTATTACTCAGCGAACAAGGTTAAGAAACACCCTGGCAACTTAAAGTTCAACAAACAAAACAAGATGGTGTACAAAGCAGGACATGACTCAAGTCTGGTAAATCTGATTAATCCGTAATACGTTTAGGAGAATTTAGAGGGAAAGATAAACAGCCTCCAGGAGGACATATACACAATTTGCCCATCAACCGTTATATGACCACGCAAGATATAACACAAGGGGACCAAATCAGTGTTTATTAAAGACCAACCATGTGGCATTTTTCATTTAGCACCATATTTAATTCTCCAAAAACCCTGTTTCATGTCATTCTTTGTATTTTACAAAGGTAGTAACTAAAGTTGAGAACTTAAGGAATTTTGCTAAGGTCAGACAGACAGCTAAGCGGCAGAAGGAGGATTCAAGTTCTCCCATCTAACTGCAAAGCCAGCCATGTGCCTTGAATGTCAAAGTGAATAATGGCACTGATGATAAATGCTTCAGGAACTCAGAGGAGGGATGATCCCTCTGCATTATAGTGGCCCAGGAACATTGCCATCACTAAATGCCAGTGTTTTTATAGTCGGCCCAACCTTTTCCTTCCCACTCACTGTGAATCTTAAACAAGACTCTGTCCAACCTCTACTTTAATATCTCAGGCAATGAGGAAATCACTTGCCTCCCCTCCCCACACATTCGTGTTGTAACAAAAGATTATTAGCAAATTCTTCCTTATGCAGAGTCACCATCTTCCTCACATGCTGTGGAATCAGATATAGAGGCGAAGTAGCCAGGGAAACGACGTTGAACTACAGCACAGGACTGTTCAGCAAAGGTGTCACAGCCCATTGGCTTGGCCCTCAGGCAGCACCAGACAGCTGACCCACAACTCATTTTTCCCCAAAACCCAGACCCCTCGGCCACTCACCCTCACTGGAAAAATTAATTCCACATGATGCCTGCTCCCTCTGATTACACCTTTCTAAATCAAGTTTTATACCTACTCAACTGCTGGTAGAGTCTCAGTCACAAGATTGAGGCCCACATGCAAAGGAACCTGAGAAAGGAAGTTTATGGATTCCACCTTAGGAAAGCAAGAATCATAGCTGAGAATTCCTCTAACATGGGAAGGGTGTTCAAAAGACACTAAGGACCCACCATACATGGCAAATGTCTCCTACAAGCCATCATGTAGCTGCCACACACTCCTTCTCTGTACCTAACCTCCCTAAAACAAAAGTGCTTTCATTGAATGTAATCCTCTCTATCTCTCGGACAAAGAAAAATGAGGCTTGACTCTCCCCAGAACTGATATAATCCAGTCTCATCAGTTACTGCTTTCGACTCCAAGTACAGGATTTCTAGGTGATACCCATGCCACCTCTAATCTAGTCAGACTCCCAAAGTGATATTCTACAAACCATGGACTAAACCGAAGGTTCACCACCAACAACATACTATATACAAAATAGCAGAAGGAGGGCAGAGAAGAGAGAAAAAGGAAATCAGTTCAAACATGCAAACACACATGACAGCACAAGGAAGAAAATATGGAAAATATGGGCAGATAGTGCCAACTTTATTTCTGAAATTGGCACTTGACCAGAGCTTATACCGATTCCATTTTCTTGCCCTCAGCCAGTACAGGTGAAACAAAAATTAAATGTTGGTGAGCCAGGTCTTTACTGATGCTGTGGAACTATCACACAAGTCCTGGACTACCTACCCCTCAACTTCTCATTACATGAGTGAAAAATAGAAATGTTTCATTTGCTTACCTCTCGGATTTTGGGTCCAACTGGTGCAGGGCCAAAGGACAAGACTTCTCCAGGTCCAGATTTGCCTCTGTTCTGCTGATGGTAGAATGCCCAGAGTAAGTTTGCCATCTTTAGCAAATAAAAATGCAGGACTCCCAGATACATTTGAATTTCAGATTGACAATTTATTTTAGTATAAGTAGGTCTCATTTGATATTGAGATATACTTAAAAAATGATTTGTTATTCATCTGAAATACAAATTTAACTGTGCATTCTGTATTTTATTCATCTGAAATACAAATTTAACTGTGCATTCTGTAATTTATCTGGCAGATAAAGAGAGTGAGAAAAAATTAGTACAGGGACTCATCAAAAAATTTTACAAAAAAAATTGTACAGGGACTAGAAATACGTGTAGGTGTAATTATTCTAGAGAGGGTCAGAGCTGAGGGCAACTGAGGACCCTAACCAGTATTTCCTAAGGAATGAACCACTCCAGTCACAAACCCAAGCTGAGACCAAGGGCATGGTAGAATGATTTGGGGAAGATATTTTTCCCCTGTGCTTACCCATCTCTGAATTAAATGGCTTCTCAGTCTCCAAGAGAAATGACACTCCACCCCGTTACCCAGCTCTTCCCTGGACTCCCTGCTTCTCCAAGTCTGGGGAAAACAGCAAGTGTGTACTTGAAACTTGGTTATGGTAGTTATGAGTTGTGTGATCTTGGTCATGTTAATGTGTCTGAGCCTCAGTCCTACATCTGTAAAGTGACAGTAATGGTATTTTCTGAAGAATAAAAAGAGTAAAACCTCAGATACTGACCTCTGTGTACATTCTATTTCAGCAAAACAAGTTTGAATAATAATGAGAGAGTAGGAAACCCCAGGCTCCCAGGGCAAACCATTCTTCTACATCTACATCCCCATTGGTGGGACTCTATTTCTCTGTTTCTCTTTGGTGGTAGGGCAGAGAGGGCCCTTGATTTGGAATAAGGAAAATCTATTTCTAAACTAGAAGCCTCAATAGCCAATCCATAAAACTGAGCTAATAATACATACTTCACAGGGTTGTTATGCAAATATATCAAGAGTTGGGACAATAAATGATGCATAGGCTCTCAAAAAATGCTAATTCCAATCCCACTTGCTCTTGTGATAATGTGTATAAAACCCTACCATCGGGTATGTTCCCTTCCCCCATCTACACTCCATAGATCTTTCTTCTGCCTATGAACATCTGGTTCAGAGGATGAGAGAGACCAGATCAATGGTTTTCAAATTGTAGGTGGTCACCCTTTAAGTGGGGTGCTGTCCATATTTTAATATGGAGTAGATGGGGCGCCTGGGTGGCTCAGTGAGTTGAGTGTCCAACTCTTGATTTCAGCTCAGGTCATGATCTCGAGGTTCGTGGGATCAAGCCCCACATCAGGCTCTGCACTGTCAGTGTAGAGCCTGCTTGGGTTCTCTCTCCCTCTCTCTGCCTCTCCCCTGCTCGCTCTCTCTCTCTCTCTCTCTCTCAAAATAAATAAGCATTTAAAATTTTTTAAATAAAAAATAAAAAATACAGAGTGGAATGGAATGAATGGAAACTGAAAGCATTGCACGTGACAAGGATAAATATTGTTTCCCAAAAGTTTTGATTCATTTGTACGTGTGTGTTTGTGCTCGTGTAGTCACACATGCATATATATGGCTACTGGGTCCCTTTGCAAAATGCACTTCCTATTGTGGGCCATAAAAGTGCATGTGTTTCTGGATGCTCTGTGTAAGGACTCTCCCCACCCATGTTTCTGATGAGCCTGAAACCAGCTGCCCTGACTGCGAAAGACACAATCCCTCCACCTCCCCTCACGAGATAAGGCACCATGGTTGAAAGCTCATCCTGGAAGCCAAAACTTGGGGGTCAGACCTCCACTTCACCTCCAGCAAAACAGAGGGTAACTTGGGGGAAACTTCTGATCAGAAAGATCACCAGTTTAGGATGGGAGAAGAAAACATGACCACACAGTTCCTGTGGTTACCAGCCCAGCCCTTCGCTCATCGCTGGAGTTATAAAACCCAAGCCGGAAAACAGAAGCAGCATCTGCCTGGGGCAGCCTCTCTGAGAAGATGCATTTTCTTCCTCTCGCCCTGCCGCTCCTTCTCCTCTGCTCCAGAGCTGAAGCTGGTGAGTCCTTCCCTCTGGAAGCTGCAGTATCAGCCCCCAACACAGTTTAGTCTGAATATAGCTGACTCTTAAACAAGATCACAGGATCTCTCTGCAGGAATCCAGAGTGAAGTTCCACTTGGGATATGCCTCCCCCACCCCCCAGTCTCTGCAGCCTATGGTAGTTCCCAGGGACAAGGAACCCCACTGACTAGGGGAAAGCCCGAACAGGTGGGAGGAAGAGGGGGCATCTTCTCATGACTTAAGGTGAGATGTTGGGTAGGAGGTCCTATGTTCTCTTCATCTTCTGAGCTTCGGGGCTACACTTTACCTCGTAATGTGGCCATTCTCTGACACTGCCCTCAAGGTTTGGAGCAGGTTGAGACCAGGACCTGGAGAACTGGCCCTGCCCAGTGGAAGAGGAGCATTGAGGTCCCAGGCACAATGGCAGTGGGGGAAATCTGAGGTGAAAAATGCCTGAATGGCATCTGAGCCCAGATTGGCTGTTGTCCCTGGAAGAAGGAGTGAGAATTTATGTGAGAGGTTGTGGGTGGGGACACCAGATACCCGAGCCTCCTGAGGGGGCAACAGGCAGAGTACACAGTGAGGATGAGATTAGAGAGAAGCCCCTCTCAACTTTAGCTCAGCCTATGCATTCTCTGTGTTCAAGCCCTGGGGATCTCTGTTCCAGGAGAGATCATCGGGGGCACAGAGTGCAAGCCACACTCCCGCCCGTACATGGCCCACCTGGAAATTGTCACTCTCCAGAATAGACTGTTATTTTGCGGTGGTTTCCTGATAAGACGGAACTTTGTGCTGACGGCTGCTCACTGTGCAGGAAGGTGACACAGCAGGGTCCCATTTATCTCCCTTCTGGAGATTAACAGCTAGGGTGGCAGCCAAGGACGTACCCTTTGGCGGTCTGAGGGGAGGCTCCTGGGGCTGGGACAGGCAAGACTTGAACTTATGGAACTTGGTCCCATAATTGATGAGATGCCCTGATCTTCAATCACTGTGAGCTCGGCTCCCCTACAGAGAGGAAAAGGAGGCCCTATCCAAAAGTCCCTCCTCTAAAAGTAGCTTCCCTCTCCCAACCCCACCCAGTTTTCTAGGCCACTTCCTCTATGCCCTTTCCAAGAACACTGGCCTTTAATTCTCAGGGACTTGAGCCATCTTTCCAGGGGAGGCAGACAACAGGGTCCACCAGGGATCCCACCACCTCAACTCCCCCTTTCCTCTGATATCTCTGGCCCTCACACAGGGCTCCCTAAATTAGGAAGTGCTAATCCTGTCCCCTGGGTCCTCCATGGCCCACTCAGTCTCCAGGAATTCCTGAGGGTCCTGGAAATTGTCCATGTTCCCTGAGAAAGCTATTCCCTGAGTAAAATATGAGCCCCCACCCCAAATGCTACAAGTGGTCCAGAGAAAGAGGGGTGATTAGAGTCCAGTGACCCCTGTGATAGACTCTAGTCCTCTTTTCTCAGAATGGGAACATCGCAGGAGAAACCTGAGACCATCACAGTTTCTCCTGGTCCTTCCTTCTCCCTCACAATAGGTCTATAATGGTCACACTTGGAGCCCATAACATACAAAAGAAAGAAGATACATGGCAGAAGCTTGAGGTCATAAAACAATTTCCTCACCCAAAATATGATGACAGTGCCTTTCTCCATGACATCATGTTACTGAAGGTAATAACTTCTTTCTCCACATTTCCCACTTTCTGTTCTCTTAGTTTTCTCCTTCAGGTCTCCATTGCCCTAAAATGTCCACAACCTGCCTCTGGACTCCAACCCCACTGACTCGTGCCACCGGATGTAGTTCTAATGCAAAACAGTTTGCCCTGTCCTTCCCTGATTTCCTCCAACTGCCCTGTCACCCATTTCTAGCACTGACAGCCCCTCATGCCCTCCACAGTTGAAGGAGAAAGCTAACCTGACCCTGGCCGTGGGGACGCTCCCCCTTCCGCCCCAGTTCAACGTCATCCTACCCGGGAGAATGTGCCGGGTGGCTGGCTGGGGAAGAACACAAGTGAATGAACCAGGCTCTGATACTCTGCGAGAGGTGAAGCAGAGGCTCATGAATCCCCAAGCCTGCAGACACTACAGAACTTTCGACCACAACTTCCAATTGTGTGTTGGCAATCCCAGGAAGACAAAATCTGCATTTGAGGTGATCCTCGGACGAGGGTTCTTTTCTACAAGTCACTGTTCGGGGTCCAGACGTCTTGTGAAAGGAGATGGGGTGGGAAGGTTGTCAGCCAGCCACAGGGTTTCAGATCATGGGCCTAAGGAACTGGAATCACCCCTCTGCAGATCCATTCCCTGCTCCTCCCCCACCCATGGCCCCGTGCAATCTCTGGGCACCCCTCCCAGGCTGCTGCACAGGGCACATGAGGTGGCCAGAAGGAAACAGAAAAGAGGCATCACACCGAAATGTATAACCCCATGAGGAACCAGGGCTGCTGGGTCTGACCCCAGGTCTCACTGGGAGTAGATGACTTCCCAGCTCACCTTCTGTGTTCTCTCTCTCTCTCT